TTCTATGATAGAATGTGGCTCTACCACTTTATCTTGAATCCACAAAGGTCCTAAAGTTCAAGTTTCTTTTACTCCTTCACAGTATCATATATTTCTTACTCTTCCAGCATCAGGTGCTCAAAACATGTTTGAGATTGAGTCAAATCAAATCAAATTGCTTTAAGATGATTGTTTATTCAACCTTTAAGAATATAAATCTCAAAATTAATGTACATTCACTGGCCTCCACTAACAGTGGAGCTAGACAAAAATAAGCCATTAAATGAACAACAATTCAACCATTAAATAAACTATTGGGTTGTCGGAAAAGTCATGACGTATTTTTTCTGTTTTTCGTCACAAAAATGCATCATGACTTTTCCGACAACCCAATATAACTCCCATCAACTTTGTTCCTTAAGTGTTCTCCGGAACAAGGAAAATTTGGGGACTTGAGGGAATTGTAGTCCCTAATCCATTTTATTAACAGTATTATTGAGAACTTTATGTCAGGTACCAATCTAAATGCTAGATGCACAAGAGTGAAAAAGGTGGACATTTCCCTGACAACTAGAATTTTTTTAAGTTAGAGAGCCCATAAAAAGGTAAATAGATCATTATACTTTAGTCTCATGACAGAATGAGTAGACGGGATTGTGGGACCTCCTGAAGGCTTCTAGGAACCATCCAAGATATGATTAAAAAAATGGTGGAAATAAGCCAGCAAAGTTGCAAAAGGAGAAGGAGTGGTAGGCACAGTCGCAGAGCTGTGGGAAAGCCATATCAGCAGCGGGGCTGTCAGAAGAGAGATCCATGTTCATTTCTATATTCCCTGTGGGCTCAACTAAACACTCATACTTGCAAGACTAGCACCATGTCACTCAGAGGGACATGGGACAAGAATCACAGCCCACTGACCGGACAGTATCAAGCACCTTCTCAAGACGCCCACTAAACAAGGATGAGAGATGCCCTGACTAAAAAGCCTCAAGTCCCACACATGTCAGTATCTCTTGTTACAAGTCCAGTTTCCATGAACCCCACTAAGGGAAGGCCCAGGAACAAGAGTCAGCACACTCAGGGAAGCTCAATGTTCATTTGCCAGTCATGGGTAATTCTTCCATGGGCAAGATGGCCTAGACATACACTCTACATTTTAACAGAGCTAGACAGTAAACCAGTGGTCATAATCTCATGCAGAAGGGAAAAGGTTTTTGGTGACCCTCTTCACACTGTCCCTGTGGTTAGTTCTGGGTGGGACAGTGCTCCAGGTAGTGGACACAGCATGTAGAAGCCTGTGGGATAGGAACAAATAATACATTACAGTGTCTACAAAGAAAGTTTATAATGACCGAAGCTTATTGGGAATTTGGGGAGGGTAAAGGGTGCTGGAACTAGCAAGAGACTAGCCACAGAGAAGCAAAGAAGAATATATTTTGCAAGGCTATAGTTTAGTGTGAAACCACTAAAAGGTTTAAAGCAAGGGAATGATTTAATCATATTTACATTGAAGAAAGCTATCTGTGGCCATTCTATGAACAGTAGATTAGGAGAGCATAAGAAAATCTGAGATCTATGTTTGCCCCTACAGGTCCACTCTCCAACCCCCCTGCCCTGTTCTCTTCCCCAGGGGCTCCTCTGAATGCTCTACATCGAGTTCCCTGCTTTCTGGCTCTCTGTTAGGTTCAATTTATGCAAAGCACAAGCAAAAGATCCCAGGGAACAAAGAGAGTGAGGCCAAGGTATTTATTCCACTGGATTCTTCCCTTCAAGGTTACCTGAGGTTGGTCCTGTCCCTCAGCCAGGCGTCACTGCTCCTTTCTGGGTGGTTCCCTCTGAACAGCTTCCTCTCACCTGCGTTCTGGTAAGCCATCCTCCTCTTGAGATCAGCTCCGGGCTGCTTAACTTTCCATACATCTGTATGCAATCTTTTCATTAAACCTGATTAAAAATGATTTAGAATCATTCTAATTGTTAAGTGTGTCATCTGTGTACTACTGGATGCTGCACTGATCTCAGAAAGACTTTAGGCCAGCCTACAAGTTAGAAGACCAGGATGCCCTTGGAAACCTCTCACTATTCATGTGCCTCTCCCCGCTCTTCTGTGTGCTCCTCCTGGCAAGAGAACCTGTAACACTATTCGGAAGCCAGAGTCAGGTGACCATGGCTGCTTTGCATGGACCTGCAGACAGGCTGAGAGCCTGGATGTGTACACCTCCCTTGAGCCGCCCTAGACAATGATTGGCCAGTGCAGGAGTATAAAAACCCAGGTCCTTGCCCCAGCTCTGGACAATTGCTGAGGCAGAGTTCCCCTGTAGAATCAACTCAAAGTATCCTATATGCAGGGCCCATGCAAAATGAAATGTCCACATTGTTCAAATGTATGTCCACATTGTTCAAAAAGTAGGGGAAAAAATGCTATTAACGGTACTAAAATATAAAATATTTTCCTCTCTTCTTTAGTCGCTCTCGATTTGGCATCATGTTTTTTTTTATTTAATGTTATTTTAAGTTAAAAAAGAACTTAAAATTTAAATCATAAGTATTAATTTCACTGTTTATTTTTAGATTGTGCAATGCCTGTTTTAAGTACAAATACAAGAGCAATTAGGTCATATACAGAATCACTGAAATTAGATAACAGGCTCTGCCCTTAAGGACACAGAAACACACGTACAAAGAATTATAACATCATCTACTCTCAATGTAAACAAAGTACTTTGACAACAGCAAAAACAAGTAGTGATTAATTCCAGATGAGGTTATGTAAGATGTTATAGAGAAGGTAATATATGTAATGGCACCTTAAAAGATGAGATAGATTTCATAAGAAAGTGAAGGAAGGGAAAAAGGAAGGTGAGGAAGCAGGGGCAACCCCAGAAAAGCCTAAAAGCTTAGGGAGGTGTTCAGTGAAGAGCAGAAGCCATTAAAATCAAGGAAGAAATGAGTTGTGAAGAGTAGTGGATGACGGTCTAGGTTTGTGTCTTTGGTAGAACAACAATACTTTTATTATGACTACTAGAAATCAAAATGCCCATAAAATAAAAATAACACCTACCACATCCTTGCATTTTCAAAAGTTCGGCAAAATATATGATATGTTTTGTAATAGAAGGAAAAAACATTTTGACAAATTAACAGGAGGTATCTAAATGTGCATTGGGTTTTATGGCATTGTTTTGCATTACATTTCAGGTATTGCATTTGTTTTATATCTATGCTTTTTATTACCTTGGGGATAAGCCTTTATATGAAGAGCATCATTTCTCCTAAAACACTACTAGTAGCAGCAGTTGGCATTTAATACCACTCTAAAGAATCATTTTCATAACCTCTCTTTAGGGAACCACATTTTAGGAATAGCAAAAGTTTGGGGAAAATAAAAGCAAAGATGAATACACAGAAGCAAAAAATAGTGAGAAATTGCCTAGTGAATATCAATCACATTATACAATCAGAATTTAAGTATAACTAGATCTTAGGCCTCCACCTTTATTTATTGTACATTTTAAGAAGCTCATTTGAGACTAGGGAGCTTACTACAAAACTGCAAGTTTGATATGCCCATATAATAAAAGAATTTCTACCTCACTACCCATACATGGTAGCAACAATATAAAACATGTAAACATTCTTTTAAGCTGTATAAGTTTTCCATATATAATATTAACAATTATTGCTTATTGAATATGACTGATTTTGAATGATTAAATCGAAATTTTCCAATAAAAACTATTACAGAATACAATAAATATTTATTTTGTGTCAAGCACTGTGATAAGTACTCTGCATACATTCTCTTACACCGAAGTAAGTAGAATCCTAAATTCATAATTGAGGAAACTAACCTAGAAAGGTAATCTGACTTGCCCAAGAAAATACAGGAAAGTAATATAGAGAAGGTAATATGAAGACCATAAAAGGAAGGCCCAAATAGAAGCCGTACTATTATCAAAGACCCAGATATTAGCAATAAAAAAATCAAACAACCATAAGAAAACAAATGGCCCAACATATAAATGGGCAAAAGATTTGAACATACACTTCACCGAAGATATATGGTTGGCAAAGAAGTACATGAAAATATACTCAGCATCATTAATTATTCCAGGAATGCAAATTAAAAATACAATGAAAGACCAGTATACACCTACTAGAATGGCTAAAATTTTAATTTTAAATTTTACTAAGGAAGTGAAGGAACTTGAACTCTCACACACTGCTGATGGGAATGTAACATGGTACAACCACTTTGGGAAACAATTTGAAGTTTCTTAAAAAGTTAAACATACATCTTTTAAAAAATATGTATCTGCCTAAACAAAAAACAGGAAAGTAACATCAAGTTTTGAGCTGGTTTATATATTCTTCCCTTTTTCCTACAATATCTGATTTCTGTACAATGAAGATCAACTTTATATTTTAAAAGAAAACGTCTTTTTAAAAGAAAGCACTGTCTTACTACAGACTCTTGAAAACCTGCCCACTATACTGACAATTATTGCCACGCTTAAATGTGTTAAAATAATCAGAAAGTCAATTTATAAACACCCACTTTGGATGTGGACCTTTGCTCTTTCGAATAAACTGGTGGCGACGCCTGTTTTACCCTATTTCACTCCCTTGCTTTCCGCATTCCATCCCTTAGCCCTTGGATAGACAAAAGATGGGGAAGGAGGAAAAGCATGGCCAAGTCCTTTCTTTGGCAAGTCACAGCATTTCATTGCATTTTTATCTTAGGTGAAATGATACATTATAAACTCCCAAGAGCAGAAATCTTACTTCAACGATGGAGCAAGATTTGAATAAAGAGAGTTGTGTAACTCTCGTCTGTCTGTGCCCAACGGAGACAGGCGTGCACCAGCGGCCACCAATCGTGAGGTGTCTCTGGAAGGGAAGGGGTGTGTGACGCAGGCGCCGTTGCCTAGGGCCTAGTTCTGATTCAGACCTGACGCCCCGGAGCCCTGACGTGCGCTGAGCCGACCTGGATTCAGTTTCCCCACTTCTGAAGAGGAGGAGCCATGCTGTCCTGCTTCTTGTTCCTCTCCAAGCATATCAGCGCTTCGCTGGTGTCGCTGCGCAGCGTGCACAGTGGCTTCATGCTCCGGCCACGCTGGGCCCTCGGGCGCCCCTTGGGCCTCTGGCCACCTCCCCCACGATGCCTGTTGGCCACAGCCACCTCCTCTGGGGACTCCGCTGGGTCCTTCTCCGCACCATCCCGGGTGAGCCAGAACTTCCACCCGGAATCAGAGGCAGCCATCAACCGTCAGATCAACCTCGAGCTCTATGCGTCCTACGTGTACTTGTCCATGGCCTATTACTTCTCCCGAGATGATGTGGCCTTGAACAACTTCGCTAGGTATTTCCTTCGCCTGTCTCGAGAGGAGACCCGGCACGCGGAGAAGCTGATGAGGCTGCAGAACCAGCGGGGAGGCAGGATCTGCCTGCAGGATATCAAGAAACCCCACCTGGACGACTGGGAAAGTGGGCTAAATGCCATGAAATGTGCTCTGGTCTTGGAAAAGAATGTGAACCACTCGTTGCTGGAATTGCACACTCTGGCCTCAGGCAAAGGTGACCCCCATTTGTGCGACTTCCTGGAAACCCACTATCTAAATGAGCAGGTGAAGTCTATCAAAGAGCTAGGTGACCACGTGCACAACTTGATTAAGATGGGAGCTCCGGATCGTGGCCTGGCAGAGTATCTTTTTGACAAGCACACCCTTGGAAATGAAAACAAACAGAACTAAGCCACAGGCTGCCTCCCCCACCACCCATAGTGTGCCAGGACCGAGTCAGCTGTCTCCTGCTTGCTTACCCTTAAAATGCACCTCCACCTTTATAGTCCTCTGTTACACTGTTCCTCCAATAAAGTGATTTGCAGAGAAAATGTATTTAGCTCCATGTTAACAAGAGGTTTTTTTTGCCCAGCATCAAGATCATTATCACAGCCCAAAAGGTAGGCCAGGATACGAGGATATAAAAAAGACTGCAAAAAAGCTACCGAAAGTAGACACAAACCAACTTTCTCCAGTTACCAAATATTATCCCAGACCATGAACCCTCACTAAAAGTCTATAATTTTCAACTGAACAAGTACCTGTTATTTTGAAGACCTTATGCTAAAGCTGAAGCAGGAAAATGTGTAAGATAAATACACAAAAAGCTATAACAAGATGAAGAATATATATATAGTACTGCAAAAATTCTATGACAACTTTTACCCTTTCCCAAAGTGTGTTCCAAGAAACAGTAATGTCTGGAGATGATCTGTTTTTAAAAGGATTTTGTGGGTTAAATAAATTCAAGACAAGCTACATGAAGTATCAGTGATGGCCTTGAAAAGTCACAGTGTATATTAGAATTTTAAGGGCTCTGGGAAGTCTTGCAAATAAAAACAAAACAAACAAAAAATCTCGGATTATTTTTATTTAGCTCAGTGTTTCCCGAACATATCCAATCTCAGCTAGTTTTTTGTCTTTTTTTTTTAATGGTAATATAATGACCCAGGGCTATCTGATTTCAGACTATGCACTGGGCCATATACCCTGCTGTTTAACACACCAAAAGGAGTGACTACACTGTAGAGAACGGCCTTTAAAATGAAAGGAATAAGACATCATAGAGTGGAAAAGTAAAAAGGGATCCAGAAGAAGGCATCAGCGGGGCAGATGTTTTCTTGGGAGAATAGAGGGGGGAGGAGTGATGAAATGAGTGGGAGAACATTTGGTAAGCAGCCCTTGGACTAGACTAAAGCACTGGGTGGTGGTTGGAAAGATGGACTGGAGCCAAGATGTGGAGGTGAGAAGGAGGGGTGAGGCTTACTTCAGTGATGAATGGCAATGATGTGAAGGGTTCCCAACAGAAGAGCGCTATGCTAACAGGTGAGCAATCAGCAGTTTAGTTGTGCAGAATAAAATCTGTGGACCACCTAAATGTATCGGAGAAATTTATTAGGGGAAACAGAAAGGCCCTTGAAGGAAAATGGGAAAGGCGCTCCAAGAAGCAGGGAGTCTTCAGACTCCATGCATGTCTGATTCTGAGGGAAGGAAGAAAGGAAAAGTTGTGCACAGGTCTAAGGAAAGTACTTCAAGGCTAATTGGGAGGCCTCCAGCCAAAGTTGCTTGTCAGAGGAATCCCAAATCTCCAAGAAATGGGTAGATCTATGTACATTTCCAGCACTCAGTTGTTAACTGGAAGCGGCCCATAGGAGTGTACTCTTGTAACAAACGAAGGGAGGAATTGATTTTAGAGCACAACAGCTGGGGTCCTTGGCAAACTGTGCTCGCTGCAGTCCCAAATCTGACAGACACACTCACATGACTGCGCAAACTTAACAAAATGATTTAAAGTAGTCTACATGGAACAGCCTGCAGCTATTAAATATGATTTTGTGAAACACATAAGGATGTGAGCAGAAATTCATAATTCAATGATGGAAATGTGTTAAGTTCTCCTGTGATTATTTCTAAATTCTCAGTGAAATAAGAGGATTATCAACTGACAGTAGAGAGGGGTAGGAGATTATGAGATTAGAGATGAGAATATGTAAAATAATTATCTAGCATAATGGTTATTGAATGTTTTTGACAGCATAAAGTAAGAAATATCACTATCCAGAATGTAAATACATGCACACACACACACACACACACACACACACACACACACACAAAATTTCAGAAGACAATACCCTTATTTACTTTCACTTCAATTCTATTTTATCAACAAAAAGGTGGATAGTGACTCAATAAATTCCATGACACACTAATGGGTTGCTATCTGCAGTTTGAAAAACACTCATCTACAAGAATAAAAGGAAATTTTCTGAAGAAATGTAACAGGATTCCTGTGCAGCAAAAGAAACCAAGTTAAGGATCAAATGCACAGTGAGACTGATCAGCATAATAAAAAACAAATCATTATGCACTCCCCCCAAGTCCCAATTATTCCTCCTGTTAAGATCTCTATTATTCTCAACCCTATTCTCCAGTAACACAGGTTTGATATCTACCAATTTTCTTCCTGTACACCATTTCTGTAACTCTCTCCATTCAATTGTTTGTAAAATGTACAAGATTCTGCCTCTAATCTCTCATGGTCATTTCTTTGTTTTTATTTCTAATGGTTCAGGCCCTTATTGCTTTCTCTCTATCTTATATTTTTACTTTTCTTATTATGATAGTAATGGGTGTCCATGATAAGAAATTTATTTTAAAATGACAGGATACACAAAAGGAATGTAAAAAAAAAATTGCAAGACCAATAAAACACTAGTCTTGGAAGCCATGAGAGGAGAGAATTTCCATCAAATGCAACAGAAATTTAAAGAGGTTACCATTGAAAGGCCATCAGCGTTGGCATCAAGAAGTCATTGATTTTTTTCAGAATAGAGGCTTTAGGAGTGAGTGGTGGAGATAGAAGGCCAAATTTATAGGGTTAAGCTAAATATGGTGGAGAATATAGAATTCTATTTTGAAAAGCTTTTCTTTTTAAGCAGTTGAGGGTGCAAGAGAGTAGAAGATGTCTGTGAGTGTGGTTAGGATGAGGAAAGAAACTGTGAAAAAGGAGAGACTTGAGAAGTAAGTGATAGAAAAACATTCCAGGGCAGAGTGGAGCATAAGGTAAAAAGGGCAGGTACAACCTGGATGGATATGTCCTCCAAACCAGCATGCATAACAGAGGAAAGAAGTGACATGGACTTTAAGGTGAGAGGAGGGCACATTGAGGGTGCTTACATTGGCTGAGCTCACACTTCTGAATAAAGTAGCAGATGACATCATCTACGGAGATATGGCTACCTCTATGTAGAAATATTTTAATTAAGTTCATTTATCAGATACTATTACAAAATAGTAAATATAATTTATTTTACAGATGGGATATAATATTTACTCTGTCTAATATTTAAAGCAAAGACTTGCTCTTTCACAAATTAAAAGGTGAATTGAGCCAAGTGGAGGCTAGATTTCTAAACAAAAACCCAATACACAGAAAGGAACAAGCCCAAACCTCTAAGTATCACGATAGGTTGCATTATACTTGAACACAAACACCCAGAGATGGCAAGCTCCAAGGCCTTCACATTTACAGGGAAATACAGCATATTTCTTTCCCCACTAGCAGTGCTTCAAAATCATTATCCTCCATATTCAGTTGTTAATCAGGTTTTCAGCAGTTCATTTAAAAGGGTAAAGCTTCCTCAGAGAAGCACTTAATCTGCATGCCAAGATATCCCAGGACCAAGAGACTGGGGTTGGAGGAGGTGCGGATTTCTTACTGAAAACAAGAAAGTTCACTTGACTTTTGGAAAATTTCAACTTTTTCTTCAACTTTCCACTGTCCGATAAAAGACAGCAGAGAAAACATTCATCATCTCTACTCTAACAAAGAAAGGTGAGAAGTATGTGTAGTGGAGAAAAGGGAGCAACCCAGGAAACGCACTTTGTAAACTCCCTCTAACAGTGCACAGGGAGATGCGTTCTAGAAGCAGACACCTAGAAAACACACACAGTTGCTAACCAGAACTGACAAGGGTTGCATCTCTGCTCACAACAGCCTGTTAAACATAAACTGTCAAGCAGTAAAACTGGAGGCCAAATGAGTCCGGGGCTCATGCTGCCTGCGCCGCTCAGCCAATACACCGACACAGGAGTTGGGTCATAGAATAAGCATTTATTATCAGAGCACCTGTGGTCTGAGAAAGCAGCGGGTTAACACCTCCAAAGACTACCTTAACATTCTCAGACAAGCCTGGGATATTTAAGGGAAAATCTGGGCATTCCTCCAGAGGCTAGGTGACAGTTCCTGGGATCTGCATGGAGGCTTCCCTCAGGAGCAGTGATGACAGTAACCTGGAAAGAATGCTAGGCTATAGAGATTGTGATCAGTAAGCATGGGGTATTGTGATCAGTAAACAAGCACAAGTTTCAGGGTAATTATCTAAAGCAAGGAACTGAACAGGGCATATTCCAAACTCAGAAACTGGGACAGGGGACATTCCAAGCTCAAATCGCAGGGAGGGGGTTGATCAATTGTTGATCCAGGGCAGGGAGAGGCTGAGGCCAGGGACATTGCAAGGCCTCTTTTGTGGGGGTTCCAACTGGGTCCTGTTTCAGCAGCAGTTTATAAAATCAGAAAGGTGCACAGATTTGGCATATGTTATTAGCTTTCCTAAGCTTCATATTTCTATTGAGAAAGATTAAGACAATATGTATATCTGTTTTGAATGAATAAATGGACAAACATGATGTGTGTGTGTGTGTGTGTGCGCGCGCGTGCTCTCTCTCTCTCTCTCTCTCTCTCTCTCACACACACACACACACACACACACACACACACTGAGTGTCAGATGGAATTCTAATGCCCAACAAGAAGAGGGACTGCCAGGCAGTCCCTGAGCACAGACTAAAGACATGCACTCAGAGTTGGGCTCCTTCCAAGCAATCTGGCCAATTTCCCAGTGCAGATGGTGACCAAACAATTTCCTGAGAGAGATTCCTAATGTTTTTGGATATACCTTAGTCTCTCACAAAACCCCTGAGCATCATATTTTTACAGGCTGAGTGATCAAAAAGAATTCCCAGTAACATAAAAGGCTGTTAGACTACTAAATTGTTATTGCATGACCTACACACAAATGCTACACAGTGTGGTCTGCTCATTAAGAGACTGCACTTGAGAATTCAGAATACCGAGGTGAGAATAGCTATTCCACCACATACCAACTGCATGATTTGGGGAAAAGTTC